CTGTTTCCTCAGCGAAAGTTACCTGCGGCGATAATGACCATCTCCGCTCTAAAACCAAACCTTGGCTAGAGTTATTTAACAACAGAACTTTTGCTAGGGGTCTTGGCGCGCAAGGCCAGAGCGTAGAGAAAAAGAGGAGTGCTACTGCCAAGGCATAGAAACGTGAAAGAAACATGCCACAAACCAGGGAATGAGCTTTTTAGTAGGAGGGATTCCGGATTTAGTGAGCCATTTATCACGCTGGAAAGGTTGAAATACGTAAGGTCACGGTGGTCATAAAACATTATGCAGACGAGAGAGCGCTGAGAAAAACAGAAAGTTGACCCGATTCGAGAGATTAAGTCCAAGCTGTCCGTAGACCTTCAGTAGAAAAGACGTAGACGCAGAGCTGCTGCCAGCTCAACCACGTCAGCACCAAGACCTTAATAGTATCACTGTCAGCGACCTCTCAGAATATGTCACTAACTTGTTATGTGACGTCACTGCACGTCATCTATGCTAAACTACTACTGGATTGCGCACCTGTCCTATTTTAGCATCCAAGGGCCGTCACAACTGAGGGCAATAGACAGCACCCTCCAGATCCGATACTCGAAACTACGGTAACCAAAAAATGAATGCATATCAGAATATACCTGTGTAAGAGACAACAAATATCGCACAATTTCGACTCTTCCTGCTGACGCTGCGATCATCAAAGGAGTCCAGCCCATCTAAAAATATTTGTCATAGTCTTAATTCAATAATAACAACAGAAACGATGAGATGCGCCTAATCAAATTTTAACACTAGAAATTATCTCTACTCTCAAAAAATCTTTATATTACTTTCAGGAAGTTAGGACGCACATAATTTATGCGAAGAAAAGCAACATCTATGATGGGTCGTGCCGCCAAGAATGCGGGTTGTTGTCATCCTCCGAAGTGAAGAACTCTCTAGGGACTTGATTTCACCAGTTCCTAGCAAATGCCCACCCCGACGCGTCATCCACTGCGTCATTGGGAACGAAAGGCAAATTATTCTGCGAGAACCTCGCTCCTTCAAAATGTAGTGTATTTGCAAAAGACGTTCCTCAAAGAAAGGGCACTATTTCCCTTCACTGCTCCGCTTTTAGAAACGTGGGCTTTGTGATGCTAACCATGAAAGTCCCATCTTATGGAAACTGTCCTTGGGCTAGGGGTTGATTTGTGGAGGACATTGTCCTCGAGAGTAGTTTGACCCTTTAAACACGACTGCCACATTCACTTAGCGCGTAAAAGCTTGGAATTCGCTAGAGGCGCCGCCACTACAGAACAAAAAGGATCGCGCATCCCCAGGAACTGATGCCACCGTATTCTGCAAGTCTGGTCAGTTCCCCAAGTTCGAGGTCTTTCTAAATGTCATGTTTCACCGCCTCCTGCACTGACGATGTACGTTTCACCACACTGATCATCCGCTAGGGAGAGGGGAAAGAAGGCTCGCGCATCGCGCCTCAAGCCTACGAGGTGGTTACTACAACGGCTTGGGTTACGGCTGCAGTGTCTCACGGACTGCTAAATCTCTATTACAATGGCAGATCCATTTCAGAGCGGCATCTAGTGCAGTTCTCAGGCATTCAAGCGCCAAGTTCATGTTGTGGTCGTGTTTACATAGATAAACAACTACGTTAAACAGTTTCCTCCGACTTTGACCACTCCAGTTGTTTTGGCTTCGTGTTTGGGAGGGGGAGTGGGGGGGGGGGGTCACACCATCCTGAAAGAGAAACGCTTCAAGCAGATCTTCAGTCGTGGCCAAGGTGCTATAAACTAGTCTGTGGTGCGAGTGGAAAGCAAAGGGTGGATAATGCCAAAAAGGTGGCTCATAACCTTGAGGGGGCATTTGAACGACTCGTTGTACAAAGTTGGGATTGATGCCCTCCACATGGGCACTACTGTGTTTGAAACTGATTCATCATTCCGGAGCTTCTCCTCCTTGAAGGAGTAAGCAGAAGCCCTCAGTCATTGGGGCAATTCCATTTTCACACAAGCAGTCATCAGCAAAGGCAACTCATACCAAGAATTCTGCTATTTCAAAACATGAAGCCAGTTCGAACCTCATCAGTGCGATTTGCAGCCGACTTATCCTGCGAGATGGATAACTGTAGAATGGGCAAACAGCCTCCAACTGCCGCAAAGTGAGGTGTACTTCTACCAGAGTCATCTGTAGCCACGAGAATCCCTTCGACGCGGGTGACCATACGTTTCGCAGCCTGAGTAGCGGTATAAAAAGAACCTTTTCACAGAATCTTGAAGGCATTTCAAAAAACACACCTCATCATCCGATTGCCGTAAAAACTCCGAGTATTCCCGTAACAGTTCCGACATTTTTACGGGTGGGCTGTCAACTTCCATCGCTGCTCGAGCTGCTTTTGTACGAACAAAAAAAAATGGAAAATAGGCGGCACAATGTAATTCCAAGCAGAAACATTAACAAACAGCTCAACGACATCGTCTCCATCGCACTTTATCAGTCAACTTGAAAATATTTACAAAACCGAGTATATCACAGACAAGTCAATATTATGACCAAAAAACCCTTTTTACCGTCACCATAACCAAAACTTTGATAATATCCTCTTTTGTAAGACATAATAAATCACAGCTAGATAAAATATCAAAGCTATAGCTACTAGTATCTTATCGGTGAGTTCCCTTCTTTCGTACTTGGACAGAAGCTTGTTGCCAGTCTGAAAATAGGTCGTTAGAAAAGCAACTTAATTACAGACCCGAAGCCAGCCTGGGGGAGGGACAAGGGGCAGGCTAGAGCGTGGCGACTTGGGTGTGAAGCGTTACTTCCCAGTCGCGACTAGTGCGGCAAAATAGGCTTTGCAATTGGAGAACGCCACCAGACCAAAACCCACCCCGCTTGCCGATGGGAGGGGGGTTGTACGGTAACTTCAGTAGGCGAACAACCATACACCGTACCTCCAAAGGAGCCGTAAATAAATCTGGGTGCACACCAAACACATCATCTCACGACAACAGCGTCGAAATTGCAAGGACAACGCGCGTGTGTGTTTGTGGTTGCTATCGCATCGAGCATTTTTTGAACGTTTTGGGCAGAGAAGAATGTGTAGAATGTGATCTGTTCATCGACACCTAACACATACTTTTCGGCTCAGAAACGCTCTAGCTATCCCGCTGATGAAAGATAAACGCTAGTCAATAAGCTGGCATTTCCGTTCCCAAAAAGCACTCGAAACGCTCAATATGCACAGAAAATTATGGTGCAGCTTCACCGCAGCGCAGTTCGAGTAGTTTTTGGCCTTCATTTCTCGATTAAATAGTGGATCTGTTTAGGTTTAAAAACAACAACGAGACTAGCATTGGGAAGGAAAAGTTTTTCGTCCTTCCATTAGTGAACGCAATGTTGTTCACTACAGAAAATATTTCTCCACACATGTCAGCAGCGCTCCTAGGATGCCTAGAGTGATTTTCAAGTTTGAAACTGGAAGCTTATTCTTGAAAGCTGATAATAGAGAGCTTGTTTGGCGGTTCAGTAAGCCGGCTTTCGTAGATTGCCAGACGTAGAGTAATAGTCCAACATAACCCTGGTCATAGACAAGTATAGTGTTCGAGGCCATCCAGCCTTGAAGAGTAGAGGCGGGGAGTAAGGGGGAGAGGGTCATGCCATCGTGGCGATGAAACAGAGCTGACGCATGAATCCGTAAACTCGTAACTTGTATTCGTTCAGAACAAATATGCAATGCTCATCATGTTCTCGTAATCATCACGAACCTAACAAGGAAACAAGCAGGCTAGTGGTAAACACACCACAAGGAGGAACTATAACTGTCATCACCATGTACCAAGCATTGTGATAATTTAAACGCGACTACTCAACATGGAACAAAGGCTGGGCATCTAATACGGGAATGAAGCGGCTCGTGAATGGAGAACAGCATCAAAACTAGGTGTTCTATTAATCTCAGATCAATTTTCGGGGAAGCTCGTGAGCATTTACATCTGGAAAATAGCTCAGCTTCATAAATGTGGCAAAGACATCCACTAGCAAGTCTATGAGGAATTAATGAACCAAACCCGGACTACTTTTGATGAGCTGCCGTTTGAAAAAACAATTTATACAAATACCTTTATGAATAAAAAAATTATTATTGGTGGCAGTCCAACGGACCTCATAGTTTGTTTTACGTAAGCACTATGGTAATGTTTCTGATCCCATGGCAAGCGTTCTATAACGATTTGACATCCTTAATCCCATCGCAACACTAACGTTCCCAAGCAAATTTCGACGCTGTGTCGTGAAGAGGCCCGGTGTGGGTGTGCATCCATATTTATTGCGGCTCATTTGGGGTACGTGTTGGTTGATTCAGCCTACAAGTTCACCATACTGTACCCTCTAAGGTTCCGGGCGATGGACTTTTCACTCTCTTCTGTCTGCAAGCACTTAAGTCAATCAGCTCTCCCTTCACACTGTTATAGTCAATTAGCTGGACTGGTACTTCGCGTCGTGTGATTGAATGACAACAGAATCGCAATACCTCCGCACTGGCGATCGTCGCCGTGGCGACGTTCGGCCGGTCGGGCAAATGACGATGGTTCCTGTAGTAGATGGCGGCAGGATGTCTACTATGGCATCTACATGAAATCTGGTGCTCCAATCGACAAGTTAACACGAGTTAGGAAAACGCCGCGCCCATCCGCCGCGCGCGGCGGAGCGACACAATTACGATCCCCTCGCCCGTCTCCCATCTGCGTCTTGATCGAAGTGCCGCAACTAGGGAGCAACGTTAGAGCGACCATTAGTTTGCCTGCGCTTTTCTGAGTCTAACCTACAGAACAAGCAGAAAGGCATTACTATTGCGCAGAGAGATGGGACGATGGCAAGGTCTATACGGGCGGCAAGCTACTAATTAATGGGAGACGCAAAAAGCAAATTATAGAATCCATATTGGGAAAGTGGAACGCAGAAGCACGCGAAAGGCCCAAGGGTCGTACCGTTGCAATTTTCATTAGGGCGAATGTTCGGATCATGTAACACCTCATGAAGAGACGGCCAACGACTGGGGTAGGATGGCGAGCGGGAACAGCGCAACGAAACTATTCCCTCGCCTGCAGGGCACGTCCTACCGCTGAGGAAAATTTTTGCAATATATAAGCACCTCCAATCGGCGACCATGTACTACCCTCCGCTGGGGATTCCTAACGTGCGCAGTGCGCTCCCAAGGCAAGCTTCAGAAGAATGCAGAAGATCAGGGACTGCGCGCGGCACTGCATCAGAGCGCGTTCATGCTTCGCAACTACTCACGAAGTATGACCGCTCTCTCAGCGCGCAAAGGAATGGATTCCTTGTCCGGTCCCTATTCGCTTCACGCTCAAACAAATGAAATTACCTTTATATGTCCAGCATGACTTTCGAATTCTGTATGAGTCTGAACGAGAACCGAACTCGAATGAATCAAACTGTCCATAGTTTGTTCGCTCTGCGCTACACGATCACCCATCTTCGATAACAGATCTGACAAGCGTTCTGTTGTCTATAATATGCAGAATGCATCACCAAACTGGATGTGAATGTGGCAACAGCAGCAAAAAAAACGGAAACAAATACCTTAACAGCATTATCCTTTAGGTTCTTCTCATCCATATTAAATTTTTTGGACTTTGCTTCAGAGGTACCCCCTTCGAGTAGTGAGGAACGCGCAGATTCATCTAGAAGTGAATATAGTAATAGAAGGCGGAGTTCAACAACTCATTTTGCAACGAGATCCTATCTCCTACGTCAAAACTCACTGATAGCCTTCCTTGCTCTGATGGCGGCAGACCTCAGTTGTTTCTGATTTTCAATCAATTCTTTTTTATGACGTTCACAATTTTCACGAGCATTCTGTTGTTCTCTCCGGGAAGCCAACTGAAATAGTGCAACAGTTCACCCTCTTTCCTGTACAGGAAACAGATAGCTATTAACAATGCAGGGGCTTCTAAACCTTTTGCACGAATCCCCCATGACATGTGTATAATCGTATTTATGATTCTATTCTTTCCACTTCTTACCGTAACCCCACAATTCAGAAATAAAATCCGAACCGAACGTAAAAGCGCGTTCATACTCCGCGATCGCCAAACGCGCGCGGCGCTGATCGCCCGCGCGATCAGATCGCGAAGTATGAAAGCGCTCCAACCAAACATACTTTTGAAGAAAGGGCTTTCAGCATATCTATTTTGCCTCCTAGTGACTGCAAGAGTTCTTTGGCCTCACGTGTCTCTTCGTAAAGTGTTCGCTCATCTTTCACATTTGTCCTAAACACTGAACTCTTCAAGAAATATAACGAGTACAACTACAATTAATAACAAATTAATCCAGAACACACTATAGAGATTCCACAACGAGCTGTGGTCTCTTGCTCCCTTCTTAGACTGCTTCATACTTTGCGACCTAGCTAAAAAGTGCTCGGCAAAATCTGCTATGGCAACCCCCCCCCCTTCCTTCATTTTCCTGATCCCTCTTTTCAACGGTTCGCATTCGCGACCCTGTAGCGACCTTTCAAACTGGGAAGCTGTATATCCATACAGTCACTACTCAAAGTATACTCATGAACATTTCAACCTCGAAAAGGGAGTGTGTGAGGCTTTACTTCCCTATCGCGACGAGTAGGGCTAATGCCGTTTGGACTCCAGCAACTTCGGCACCGAGCTCATTTTTAAATTGCCTAAGTTACCAAATCCGCTAAAAACTTGTATGTAGGGGTAGTTTAACATCCTGATTACGAATATGACATTCACTCTTGCCGCTGGCGCTAATGGATGACACTACGATTACCTGCGCTCCGCTAAGGCTGAGCCCAAGAGGTAATCGTAGTGTCATCCCTTGGCGCCAGCGCCAAGAATGAGTCATAATTGTAATCAGGATGGTAAATAACCCTTGTGTACATATTTTCAGTGCGGGGTTTGGCGACTCAGGTAATTTGAAAATGAGCTCGGTGCGGAAGTTGCTGGAGTCAAACGGCATTACGCGTACAGAGTAGGAGTAATAGGAGTATGTCGAGTAAGGACCACGTGGCGTCGCCAACGGCTAAGCAATTGCAGATATCGCAATGGTTACGATCGGCGCGTGCTCAGCGATTGTTTCGCTTATTGCGACAGTGACGCTGTTCGCTAGCCATTTTTTTTCAAGACATACTGTCACGCCGCCAGTAACCTTCACTGGACAGTATTTCAGAAGCATTGTGACAGCTAAAGGATCAGGGAACATCATGTAAGCTTAATTACCTCGCGCCGAAATTGCATAGGTTTCTCTGCACTATAGCTGCTCGATCACTGCGAGTCCACACAAAATAAAACAAATTCCAACAGCCATGACACCCAGGTCCGTCATAGTGAAGAGCGTGGCCGAAAACTGAAGCGAAACCCAATCGCATTCAATAAGGCAAAGAGACTTTGGCTGATTTATCGCAACGTGCAGATCTACTCACAAGGCCCGCAGCGCTTTGCAAATTGCGCCTGTCGTCTTGGTACTAAAAACATGGTTCCGCAATGGCGTTTGTATACTGTAATTGACGTATGGCAGAACTAGATCCACCAGGAAACCAACCCATTTTAAACACGCGTCTCCGTTAGACAGCTCCATGGCGTCTGGATCTCTTTAGTCTTTTTGTGGTGCGTGCGATGGATGTGATAAGACAAGCGTAGTCTGTCGCGCGGCGGTGGTGCGCGTGGCGAGCGACACCGCGCCTGACGAACAACTTTTTTTTTGCTTCAGCGGCACATCGTTGGGGTTCACCCAACAGTAGAGGGTCGAGAGCTGAATTTTTTTGATGGTCGATTTTCTCGTTTCAGGGACGTAAAGGAAGGGGTCGTATTTCTCCTCCGACCTTCGAGAGAGGTTGCTGACTTTTTCTGGTTTCTCCTGTTTCATGTGTACTATGTGACCCTATCCCCCCTGCTCGACAGCAAAATTTTTGGATAAAAGTAGGAGAATTCGGGAAATTATGGAAAATTAGTAGGGAAGTTGGGGAAAATCTGAGAAATGTAGAGGGGAACTAGGGGAGTGGTCGTACCAAACCCCTAAAGAAAGGGAGGGGGTCGTACGGACTCGACCAAAATCCCCAACCAATGGTGTGTCCTGTTCTGCTTGGCTGTTCGAATCAAAGGGATGCGAAAATTCGATATCGCCAGTCCCCGAGTTTAGTTTTTGCTTGCGATCATATCAGTTTCGCTGCTCCAATCAACAAGGTGATGCACTTGCAGAATTCGCCGCCTATAGCCGCACACCCGCGTCGACGCGGTAGACCACCATTGCTTTGTCCGCCTCTCGCGCCGATGCCGCCGCAGGGGAGAAACGCTCCACACACGGAAAACAAATCTAATTATACTAACATGATATCATCAATCGTTTGCTTCGCCATCGTATCAAGCCGGATTATTTCTTGATGAAGCAAATGAACTTCCATAGCAGTACGATCAGCAGGAGGAGGCATTTTGATGAGCAATCGTCCGTGAAGAGCTGGCACTTGGACGGAAACATTAAAATTCACAATTTTCGGAAATAAAAAAATATTCAGAAAACAACAGAAATATTCTTGAACAAAATCTGATCAAATGATAAATCTGACCCATTCTGTGCAAATATTTATTCTATGAAACAAGCGTTCTAATCTATTCAGACTACTTTCGAAACTATCAACAATCAACAAAGTAAAGCATAAACTTTGGAACGCAACAAAAGGCAATCCAGGTGAGCAGTGAGACAAAGTATTTCACAAATACCGGAACCTTTTACAGGTAGATTTGTCATGTACGTTAGCAAACTCTAATGTGACTAGGCGATATAAATGAATAGTTCAGGTATCGATTACACGTCGAAACCGGCATCTCGCATGCACTTCTTGTGTGCTTCTATAAATTCGCCACAGTGCTCTTCACCATGTTCGATTATGCACTGATCCCGAGCCTGAAGAAGAATCACATCAATCCAAACCGGTGAATTCGATTTCATGGGATATGAACCAAAGCAAATGAAACGGTTTTTATTACTGTAATCTACAAGAAGGGCAGCGGTCCTACTCAGTGCGTCTCTTTTCAAAGGTTAGGCTAAATCTTTATCGAAGTGTTCTCGGAGGCAGATTTGGCCATGAATTTGTCCCTTGAAGTAGTTCGACCTCCCCGAACGGTTATCACATAGGCTGAACGAAAACCATGGATGCTATAAGCGGCTCATGATATGAGCATTAAAACTTAACTTTTGGGCACTATTTGCATTTCCTGAGGCAGGGATAGGTGCAGTGGCAAGCGACCCCTCACTGGTATGTTCTGCTGAAGAAGAAGAGGGAAGAAAGCTGGTAGGTTCTGGTGGGGCTGTTCTCCCTATTTAGTGGCGCCACTTCTCCCAGTTAAACGCTTGACCTGGATTCCCTGGTCGTGGGTGCGAGGGGAGATGGGTGGCATCCAAGCCTATCTTAGTCCATTACATGCAGCATGGTCAAGCCTTTCTAGCCTGTTTTACGTCTAACGCAAAATTGGTAGTGCAGATTCGTCCTAGCAGACAATACAGGGGGGCCAAAAAAAAGTCATTTCGGCCGAGCCACATATCAACGAAGTTTTCGCAGCCCAGACAGGGGAAGTGGATATGAGTACCAGAGTGGAAGATACCCAAGATCTTCCTCTATAAGCTGGAGCACGCTGCCGCCAATCGCCTTCATGTACGCCCAAAATATGATACGTCCATCTCCAGTCGCAGCCTGACTGGAGAACACCTTTGGAATTCACGTCGCCTCCAAACAGCTGCGAAACTTCTTGAATGAAGTCATCCACAGATAGCTACCTGGAGGTCAGTACTCTTGACCTGCAAGACCTCCCACATCGACCAGCTACGGCAACGTCGCTACGGTCTAGGACATCATCTTCACCGTATTCGCCGAGGCGCGAGTTGATGGTATGGACCGGGGTACCTGGAAAGGGGAAGACCGATATTTTCTTTGTAGACCCCGACTGAAGGTGAGCGCTGGCGGTTACATCAAGTAACTCGAGAAGAATATCCTCCCTACATGTGGTCGCCCGTACCTTCTTGGAGACCTTGTGCTGCTACAGGTTTGGGGTCCACCACATGAAATCGACAGGCGTTTTGGAAAACTCCCGCCTACTTCGAATGGAAGGGCGTTTCGTACCTGAAGAAGATGTAATATTAAAGTATGTCCCCTGACCTGAACCCACTCAATTACTTAGCTCGGGCGGACTTCAAGAGGGTGGTCTACGGTGGCGGAGAAATCAACGATCTCGCTCAACTCCGGTACCCACTCACTTTCGCGCGGCCGAATCTCTCGATGGCGCTCCTCCAGAAGGCTGTGGCGGAGTATCATTATAGTATTTAATGTGCTCTTTAATATGGTAGTAAAAATGTCCGATAAAAATTTAATAAAGTGTAACTTATAGCGCCTTGAAAGTCATGGAGGCAAAATGACTTTTTTTTGGCCCCCCTGTATAGTATTATGATACAATGTAAACTTGTATTCAAAATACCATTCAGGTTCTGAACGGAAAGGGATTAATCGAGGTTAATCCTTCAAATTACTAATCCAGGAGTCGCCACGAAAATTCGAAGCAGTTCGTGACAGAGGGGGGGGGGGAGCATTTTGCTTCCCATCGATGTGTCGACCCATCTAGATAGCCTTTTCTTGAGTTGACACGCTTTACCATGGTGGCTAGACCAGCCACCCGAGTGAGACTTGTAAACCGGAAGTATGCAGCAGTGAAAGGGCAAAATGCCCCCTCCCCCCCACCGTGGCCGAACTGCGTCGAAAATTCTTCTCCAGCGATGCCTTGATTACCGTTGACATCCATCAAATGACAAGCTAAAGCTAAATCCACCCCACATACAACTGTGGAGAGAGCATGAGCTTAACATTCAGTTGGGCAATAGGATGGAAATTCATGTGTTTATGTAACTACTTGATGCATGTATAGGTGCACTAGAATACCCGGCTCCACTGAATTCAATAAACACCATTAAACACTGAGAAAGGCCTGAAGGAGGGAACTCTGCACTAGCTACTTCGCTCATTACTTCCACACATTTCCCCCTCCCCACCCCATATCTACTCATTTGCGTAGAAACTTTTTAAGCGGTATCTACTTCTCACATCCACCATCTGTTTCACACCGCTAAAATGTTATGCTGTAATCACGAGGCATGAACATCCAACCCTCGAAAATCCCAAAACAAACAAAAAAGGGCCAGTTTTTGGAGCAAATACACCGCCTAAGAAGGGAAGACTTCGAAGCTCGGGAAACACAAAACAAAACGAATCGATACAAATATTCAACTAAGCAATCCCAACTGAGATTGATAACTTTCGACCACAGAAGTGGAAAAAAGCAATACCTTCTTAGTTTCAGGACATGCACAGCATGGTTTCAGCTTCTTTTCACCGTCTGATCCTGACGTCTTGGATTTGCACTCCTTCTTCTCTTCCGGCATCTTTTCCTGTAGAAAATATTGTATTCTGTCAGTTCCATGACAGTGAGGCACCACTGTGGAGGGGTCATGGGAGGAAAAGAGGGTAGCGCGACCAAGTATTTCCTTCTCCCCTGCGGCCGACAACATGACTAGATCATAACTAAAACCGAGCCGTGGCTGCGAAACATGAACTGAAGCGAGTGTTCAGGAAGCAGCCGACGTGCTCCTTCTCGTTATTGGGCATTGAATCTGAGCAGACAGCCGTTTGATCGCTGTACGGCTTGGGAGGGGCATTTCACACTCACGCCTACTCCTTCTGGTAGCTCATGTCAATTAACGAGTTATACTTCAGGGAGAGAGACAGGTAAACTCCTGTGGAGCTTCGAAATGGTATAAGTGACCCATTTTGGTTCCAGGAGTTATAATGGCCTGAACTAGGTAAAATAGCGCCTGCTGCACCAGGAATTCGCACTGCGGCTTGTAAAGTTTCAAAACTGATTCTCTCTCTTGAAACAATGTAACACTGGTGTTGACCAAATAGACACACGAAAACTCGGTTCACTAATAAATATTTATGCACAATTCTTTTACGAAAAATCCTTACAAAAACGTTTTTCATGTGGATGGAGGTGCCACCGAGAGAGCCCTCAACAGAGGAGGACCGTGCTTACAATTAGCAGCGGTATTTGACAAAGATTTGGTAAGACTGAGAAGAAACAAGACCGTTTAAGTGACCGGTACTTGCACAAAACTATCAAGATGATGGAATAAAACGATTGCGAATGAGACATCGTTAACATAATCAATGATGATAAGGATGAGCAAGATATTGAACGGCTCACACCTAGGATCGGAATTTGATGGAAATCATACTGCATTAAATCTAACCCATTAGATGAACCCTAATAAAGATGGAAAGATGAACCAGTAAAAGAGCGCACAAACATAGTTACTTCATGTTTAAAAGAGAGAGAGAATCGAGTATTGCATTTAAGAGAAAATGTAGTCGGTTGCTTTTGCTAGGTCCCAGTTGTTGCAGCTAAGCACTGAGATCGCTTCATCCTGAAAGAACACGAATAAAAACAAGGTAACGTCCTGTACAATAGTTCAAGTTTTTTTTCTCTTAAAACTGAATGCGAATCAAATGTCACGTCGCCAACAATATCCTCTTTGTAACCATTGATTCTTGGTGAGCGACCAACGTACAAATAAAGAAATGAACAAGCTTTCCCTAGGAAAAATAACCAGCTTCGTCTGTTAGGACTCGTTTTCTGGTGGAAAAAGTCAGTCATTGCGTTCTGTTCCAACTGCTTCCTCAAAGACAACTGTGCATTCATCCCAGGATGAAAGATGGGTCTTACCTTGTGCGATGTGGATCGGCCCTCAAAAAAGCACGAACGGGTTGGAGGACAGTGGTACTCGCATGGCGTCTCTGTACTCCGTTCGCCAGCGCCTGCGCAGCTACCATGATCCCGCAGCCGAAACCAGGGCACATCACTGGTTGGGGGGGAGGGGATTTTGGTCGAGTCCGTACGACCCCCCCCCCCCTTTGTTTTTGGGGGAGGGGTTTGGTACGACCTCCCTCTGGCCCTGGCCCCATCTAGCTGTTGGTTGGTTGGGGTGGGGAGGGAGGCGGGGGATGGGGTAAACAGCAGATGTGAAACCGGAAAAGCCGCGAGGAAATACGAACAATACTCAGTTTTCCCCAACTTCCTGCCACTTCTTCCAAAATTTCCCGAAAACTTCCCTACTTTTCCCAAAAATTTTGCTGTCGAGCGGGGGCGGGGGGGGGGGGGTTATATAGTACACATGAACAGGAAAATCACGAAAAGTCAACCACCTCTCCCAGAAGGCCAGAAAGTAAATACGACCCCTCCCAACAACGAGCAAGTACGACCCCTTTTACAACGTCCGTGAAGCGAGAAAAATCAACTATCAAAATAAATTTTTCTCAGCCCAAATACGACCCCCCTCTCCTGGCGACCAAATACGACCCCCTGTTGGGGATTCCCCAACAATGTGCCCTGAGCGAAACACACACTAGGCGGCGGAAAAGAATCAAGAAGTGCGGGGGTGCAGATAAGTAGCGCGTTTGGCGATGGTTCTCGCTGCCGTGCTGCGGTAAGGACGGAGCATGGAGAGGTATCCGGGCATATCCTAGAACCGCGGTTGCACTTTTGGCCGAAGGAAGCGGCACGATTCTGCAGCTGTGGACCTATTCACCTCACATATGGCTAGGATCAGGATATTCGGAGGTTACTTGACTGTTTATCTTTGGAAAATCAGTTCCTGATGATTCCAAGAAAGAAAAAAAATACATCATAACCGCTAGTTTGTCAAAGAGGGAGCGGCGTAAGTAGAAGGAAAAGGGGCAGTAGAGGACCCCACGTGCAATCATAGAGGGAGTAAGAAAACTGAAAAACACTTCAAATATAGCTGGTTCCTTTCATTTCTAGCTTTTACAGAACCCCTGCTAGTTCGTCAGCACGGAGGACTCGTCACTGACGATACCGATGCTGACGAAACAACAAAGTGTTTGTCGGCGGCGAGAGCAGAAGGAACCAAACGTGTTTCCGTTTGGGAAGGGGGGAGGGGGGGGGGGCAAACTATGGGTTTTGGAATGTTTTTGGAATACCTGGAGTAGTTCAAATTGACGAAGCAAGAACAGAAAGAAATAGAGAAAGATTGATAAAAACGGTCACGTAGGCACTCATTCAAAAAAGGGGAGATGAAGATTTTTGCGTACACCCTAGAGAGGGAAGGAAAGGGCCGATTTCCTTCAGCGATAAGAGTTGGTGTACTACACTAATCCCAGCTCTGCAGAGGAAGGCTTTTGAGCGGGTATCTTGCTCTCAGCCGAATTGCCACGATTAGGCTCTGAACATCTCCGCACGGTGATACCTCGGTGAGTTCTTAGAAAAAATGCCGGGTTTTTGGAAAGGGTTCGGGAAACTAGGTCGGAAACGCGAAACGAGGTCGGAAACGCTAGAGTGGGAAGGGCGTTTGGTCGGGTAGGTAACAAATTAAAAGCTTCGAGCCATTTTCAGGCCTCTGAAGAAGACGAGAAGGTCGAAACGTTAGGCCAATAAAGGTGTCATCTAAAAACCTCGTTTGGCAGAAGTATTCAAATATTCGACAGTGTTGACAGTATTTGAAAACTACGGGTTTTCATTGCATATGCTTACTTCACTCCCTTAGCTGTATTTGACGGTATTTACTGAAGAGTTGGAAAAGATAGGGTCGTCAGGAGAAAGCAGATCAGTAAAGGTGCAAGGCAAATTGAAGATATGTGGAGAAGGTCATTGTTGCAAGGAGGCAGTGGTGAAGGTGCGACGAGATATTCCCCCCTCCCCCGACGCCATCATGTATAGTCGTTAATCCAGACGCTGGTGCGTCACAAGGCGCTGCTCCACACACAGCCCTCCGACCACCAACATCCTGCAGCAGTACGGTTGTACACATTGACAGGAACCAAGCATCCTGTACCCCAAAAAAAGGCATAATCCCAAGAAAAAAAAATCGAAAAGTAAAAATTCTCAAGCACTGCTGTGACTGCACTCAGTGAGGTTCAGAATTATAAAAAACTTGAAAAGTAGAAGTAAAAAAAACAATCATCTCTCTAGTCACATTACCTCGGTAACGCGTAACGCCTCATGTCTCGGAAGTTTTGCAACACTCTTCTCATTAATAGGCATTTTCTTCAGCTTTTCCCTTCGCATACTTTATCGTCCAATAAATTGCTGTCTCCTAGAAAAGAGTAAACAGTTAGAACTACAACCTCCCTTTTAATTCACTCAGCTGAAAGTGTGACAGGATATTCACTCGAAACTCCCTTATGACACAGTGGTCAGCAGCCAAGAGATAGCTTATCTTAACGGGCATTTCGGGCATGTTGGAAGCATCATAAAAGCAGGCTTATCAATAGTTCTCCTTTGATAAAGACAGCGTCCGCGACGGAATAACGTGCACAAGCCCTACATTGTACATTAGTATTAGTAGTATTAGTATGATGTATATGATGGCGCTGGCCACAATCTCGAGAGATGTTCAAGTGTCTTCATGACTTAGAGCGCTGGATTAGACTGCCACTTCTTAGCTACGATAGGCTGACCCCGCCTCTGCTATCTAGACCAGCCACCATCACTACGGGTTCTTACGGATTTCAGACAGTTTGGTTTTTTCTTCAGTTCTACCTCTACGTGACCCAACCATTCACAGCCCTATAACCTGTATTGCTGAAAGCCGTATGAAATAAATGGATCAATAGGATAGGATTAATAGGAGAATCTACACCAAGTGCGAATTATTCTGAACACATAACCTCTGAAACACAAGTTGAATATATAGGTCACTAGTTTGCCGAAGCCACAAACCCCCAGCACAGTTCTTCAATAAAGATAATCTGAACAGCAGTAGCAAATTTCGCGTATTGCAGTTTAACACATTGCAGACCGCCATAGTGCGCGCATATCCCGATTGTATCACATTTTTGATCGAAAATGACCAGTAATTCTCTACCCCTTTCCAATCGCTCAAGAAGAAGGATTTGTTAATAATAGAAAACGTGTTTTCGCAACAACAGAACATGAAAAAAAGTCAGAGTAGTTAAGCAAAACGGCACAAAGGGGCAAATGCATGACACACCATGTGTGTCACGCGGTCTGGAACGTGTTAATAGTTTTTCATGGCATATTGGGTGCTGTCGGCATGGAGGGGCATTTCCTACTTTTTCTAGTGCCTTTTCTTAGTTCATGTAACAGGTATTACATTGGCCAGACCTGCAAACTCCAGTGAAGCTGCGAAATCGTCGAGTTGGCCACTTTGTCCACGGGAATTAACAGATCTTTACAGTGCGGTCGTTATGAGCTCAACTGAGAACCAGCCCCACCAAGCCGAATTGCGCCAAATATCGTAATGCACGCCAGGATAAGTCTAAACCGAAGTGATAGGAGCAAGTTGCGGCAACGTCAGGACCACTACAGCTGAGCAAGAGCCGCACGACTAAGCTTGCTTGTCTACTCCCTTTGGCTGAGAATAAGATCCATCATCAAGATTGGCCGTGCAGAGCCCCAGATGAGTAGAGTAGCCACTAGCCCGCAGCCTAGTTTTGCCGCATACCCTCCCCTCCCGTTCCCCGTTCAGCCCCCCC